CTGGCCGAAGGAACCCTGATTAGCATTGATTGCTCCTTGTAAGGAGGATTGACTGTCAGCTTGCCCTACCACTTTTCCTCTCAGAGTCTACTATGTCTCTGTCAGATATTACGTATTAAACAAGAAAAGAGGAGAGATGTCTTTGCTGTTGAGATTACAATCTCAGTTTGGTTTCCTCTACGTCCCTGTCCCTGTGGTGTGCCACTTCTTCCAAATCAATCTGTTGTCCACCACAGTGGTGATCTTTCCTTGTAGAAGCCAGTCTCTTATAAAAACTTGTCTCCTTTCTGGTCTACCTTTCGTCCTCACAGTCACTTCCCTCCATCTGACTCGAATCTCTGTTTCCGCCATTTTCAGTAGAAGAGCCCACATTTCTTCTCTTGGCACCTCAGTTTCTTCGATTGTCTTGGTGCATCTCCTCTTCCAAATCACCCACAGAGCCAACTTTCTGAGAAGATGGTACCAATCCTCCTTTCCTCCTTTGAGGTTGTTAGTGTTGTTAGATAAGAACAAGATGTTGWGGGGGGTCGTGGGCGGGGGGGGTGAAGAGAAGAGGATGTGCCACAGGTTACACACTTTGTTAGGGAGCTGTGCGGACAACGGCACCATGGGCTATGCCGTGACTTCTGTTGCCTATTTCTTACATAACTATCATAGTGTTCTCTTTAAAATTTGACAGAATCTAGCTCAGTTAGTTTGAGCACGGAAGTGGTTTGCAGGAGGTTGTGGGTTCGATTCCCCACGACATCCATTCTATCCCCACGGCCTCCTGTGATGCACTTCAGGCTCTCCAGCGGAGTTAATTGGCTTGGGCCTCCGGGCAGGCTGGGAAGCGATTATTTGCGCCTTCCAGCTCGCGCTTGGTGTTAGAAGTTTGGGCACTGCTCCCCGCATAGAACAGAGATTGCTAAGCCCTGTAGTCGTGTAGGTAGGTAGGTAGAGGGAGATATATCGAGAGAAGAATATAGGTTAGTTAAAAAAAAAAAAAAAAAAAAAAAGCTCGGAAATGCCTGGGAACAATTTAATGATGGGGCCTCAAGCTTCACCTGCTGGATCTCCCCAGGTGTTAGTGGTGTCTGCTCCTATCAGCAGCACTAACACTGGTGGGGGCGTTTAAAAAAAAAAAAAAAAAAAAAGGATGGGGCCTCAAGCTTGTAGCCCTTCTTTTTCCCGTTTTTCAAAGGAGGAAAGAATAATGGGCAGGGCATGGCAGAAAGCCCTCTGCAGGGGTGTGAATTACCCAATCCTGATGCAGGGAGGGGTAGTGACAATAAGTACGTGTGAACACTTCGCACTGTGAAAGGAACCGGAAAACAAAAACAAAAACAAAAAAAAAGAACGGGCATAACAGAAGACCATGCATTTGTATAACATCCTTGGCTGCGAAATGGATGTACGGTGTTCGGATGCGAAGGGTGCATGTAGTCAGGAAAGGAGGGGCAGCCCTCTGCACACATACCTGCAGAAACCCTGGCGTTGTAGTTGTTCTGGCGTCAGCACTGATTCCTGTAGACGGTATCTGTAGCCATACAGAGGAGAAGATCGTAGAGTGTTGACGCATTGCCACGCCGGCAGGTAGGCCAGGTGATGAGTCAAGGTTGAGCCAAGCAATGCATCGCATCAAATCGGTACTACCTTACCCGCGCAGAGGCCGTGGATTGGGAGAGTCCATGGCGACTACTCTGCAAGACGAGGAATCTAAGTGACATACGTCTCAATGCACTATTGGCTGCCACCCCTGACCTAGACCAATAGTGTGCACAGTCATCTGTATAGTCAAAGTGTTGATGCCCAGGGAGGTAGATGCTGACATGGCTATTTGGTAGTGCTGGGATTTTGAAACTCTCAGTGGACTAGTTTTCTTTCTGCCGATGGTTAGCCCCTAAGGACCTCGTCACACCGCTTTCGAAACGAAAAAAGTATGAGTGCATCTTCCTGCAGAGAATGGCAAAATGCATCTGTTACTATGGATAGCAACAGATGCATCTTACCTCTTTCTGCGGAAGATGAATTCGTTTTTTTTCTCGTTTCAACAGTGGTGTGGCGAGGCCCTAACAATGGTGTTGGTCCTGCTGCACTCTGGCAAGGGTATTCTGTCTGTTGCACTCTTTTCTATCAACTACTCCTTTTTTCTCTTTTTTCTTTTTTAAAAAAAACAGAACCTTAAGGTTCTGGCTCCTTTTCCATTCTGGGGAGCATCAGTCCGGTTCCTACTCCACCGGCAAGTCTGGAAGAATTACAATGAGTACTCACACATGCTCCTCCCCCTTGTGTGTGGAGGTCCAACTGATCTTTTCTATTAAGTATTAACTCATTCAGGCTTCCCTGGTGTTTATTTCCCCCCCCTTTTCTTTTGCTTCTGCTCTTTGGGGTGGGCTGATCTTCGTGTGTCAGGTGGATGGCGGATGCGGATGTCAACGGATGGGCGCCTTGACGAATGAGCAAAAGGAAAAAAGTATGAGCAAACGGCCACGACAAAAGATTAGGACCGATGCAACTCGAGCTGGAGGTAATGCCAATCAATCATAGGCTGCCGTTATTTTCAGAGAAGCCTGTTGTCTGGATGGCTGTGACACAAATTTTGCAAAGGTATTCCTTTATTAAAAAAAAGGGGGAAAAAATAGAAATCAGAAGTCGTAATACCTTTCTCGGCCTTTTGGCTAAGATCAAGTGTCGTATCTGTTCTGATCAGTTTAATGCGAGGATCTGGGTCCTCGGCAGGCCTAAGGGGCCTCTTGCTGCAGATGTGCCCGCCCTACATGAAGGCGGGCCCTAACAAATCACGAGAGGCCCTAAGCTTTCAATATCGTATTTGGGGTCCAGGCAGTTTTGTCACGCCAGTTGGTTGAGGGAAGCACAGGCTGAGCAGCGAGACATTCCACGGCCTTCCAGGCCTCTCCAAAATGATGCAGGCCCTGGACGAGACTCGCAGGCTCATACACAGACAGTTGGGAGGCCCAACCGAATGAGGCCCAGTAGCTGCAAGAGAGGCGCAGCATCCTGGGGCCTACCGGAAGCTTCTGGGCCCAGGCCCAGGCCAGCCAGGCTGCGAAGGCAGGCAGGCTCTTTCCATATAGGAAAGAGCTCGCTGCCTGGAGCCTCATTCAGCACTTGCATGCTGGCGGCAGCGCTGCTGGAGCGGACACTTGTGGGCTGCTGCTGGCGCTGAGGCAAGGTGGTAGCGCGTGCGGTCGTGCAGGGAGCAGCGCGCTGCTGAGGGCAGCGCCATAGCCCAGCCTCCATAGCTGGATGGGCTTGGACTACAGTGAGGCGCAGGGGTGGTCTTCGGGTGTACAGAGGGAAGACGTGGGAGTAAGTCAAGGGAGAGAGAGAAGGATGATGATGATGATGATGATGATGATGATGATGATGATGATGATGATGTGGGGGCACATACCTGGTATTGGCGATTGTCTGCATTGGGTGACATCTTCAAGTACTACGTGGGCTGCTGACGTCAACAGTTGCATTGTCAATTAGTAGGCAGACTGTAGCTGTGTAGGAAGTAGGCTGGGCGGCGAGCGCCAAGTAGGGAGATAGGGCCTGGACACTCATGTTGGTGGTGGCGAGAGCAAGATCTCATTGACATTGGTTTTCAGTGTTACGATTCTTCATTGGTGTTATATTGGTGCATTTCGGCTTTCTGGACACTGTGATGCTATCTGGCCTTCGATGTGATTGTGCATTCTGGACATTGTCATCTCGCTATTGCTCATTTTCCTTGCATTAATGTCTGATCCAAAGAAAAAAGAAGAAAAGATATCAGAAGTCGTTCGGGACATCTGTTAAAATTGAAAGAATACGGAGAAAGAAGAAGATTAGCATGTTCCTTGTTCAAGGATGACAGACACAAATCCGAGAAATGGTGCAGAGGAGAAGAAAAGGAATAGCAATTGAACCGTGGAAGGCAGCTGTTGCAGTCATAAAGGCAGGAACAGCTGCCACTCTGGCATAGGTGGACAGCTGGCACATAGGGGAAGGCAGACAGCTGTAACACAGTGGAAGGTAGACAGCTGTCACACAGTGGAAGGCAGACAGCTGTTGACTGCCTAAAGTGCACCGTCGATTTGCGATTTTACAAGCAATAGTTCCCTTCGGGACATCCGTTGAAATTGGAATGATACAGAGAAGATTAGCATGGCCCCTGCTCGCAAGGATGACACGCATAAATCGAGAAATGGTCCAAAAAAAAAAAAAAAAAAAAGTTTCCTTCCTGCTCAAAGCGAGTTCTGTTCTTCAGGCCATGGTACTTATACAAGAACCCCTGTCCGACCGCATCTCAATATGCTACCATGCTCTTTTTCTTGTTTTTTGGGGGGAAGCGATGGACCACAGATCAGATATTATTATATTAACCTGAAAGGAACAGATTCTACATTTGATTTTAGCCCAAAGGCCGAGTCTATGCTCTTAGTTAGTAATAGTATCATCAACCTCAGTTCAATCTTCTCAATCGGGTGTGTGTATATGGAACATGAGGACCCAATAAAGTCTTAGTCCCCGGATGGCACAGACTGGCTCTGTCTGCGGAACTATCACCCCGGAGAGGTCAAGGCAAGGTTGCCAGCAGTCTCAAATTCTCAATGCAAAATATTTAAAAACTATACAATAAGAAAACATTAAAAAAATTATGGAGAAAACATATGCTGTGGAACATTGCAATACATACGAATATTGGCTGAGGATCTGCTTGAAATTCTTTGCTCATTTGTCATGTTAGAAAAGAAGAGTGACCATGCAAAAAAAAAAAAAAAGTTAGTAAAAACATAAAAATTGGCCCCCAAACCCTAATTTCACTTTTGGACCCCTTAAGTCCCCATTAGCCACTTGTGTTCTCCAGATCTCTCTACCAGGCGGTCCAGGCCTCATGCTCCTGCAAACAACAGGTTACAGGGCAACACCCCAGTGGTGGCCAACCTGGGCTAGTGAACCTCGCAGCCTCAGCTCAGGCCCGGATGGACAACCACCACCACCGAAATCCTGCCATTCAGTTTCTGCAATAACCAGAATAGTTTGAACAATCAAAGGTTTTGAGAAGTACCGACATCACTCAAGATCACCCACCCATCGCCCACTCCCTCCACAGCAAAAAGAGACGGGGAGAGGAAACGAACGCCTTCCACCGTCGAAGTAGACAAGCCTCTTGCCACTATCTGCCTCCGCCAAGGGTCGAACCCACAATCAACTCCGGCCCGAGAATAACACAACCCTCAATTACTGCCCTTACCTCCCCAGACACAGCACTTCCCTCCAAGATGGTACCTCCGCAGGATAGGGCTCCCTCCGTTGTGGGCAACTAACGCACACCTACCGAATGGAAAGGGTTCACCCCCCAGCCCCTGAAGTCACTCCCTTCCCCGCCGAGGAAGAGAACCAGCTACCTCCGCAGGATAGGGATCCCTCCCTTGTGGGCAACTAACGTACACCTGGCCCCTGAAGTCACCCCTTCCCCGATGAGGAAGAGAAACACCCCCCTGCCCTTAAACTGCACCTGCCAAGAGGAGCCCCCTTCTCCTCGTCGGCCCCAGTTCAGGACAGTCCCCTGAACGGTCACCCCTGCTCCCTCAAGGACGTACGGTGCCCACCAAAAGTATGCCCCCGCAGAACAGCAGTTCCCCCCTTCCCTCCATCCTCTCTCTCTCTCTCTCTCTCTCTCTCTCTCTCTCTCTCTCTCT